GTGATCGTGCTCATATGGATTTGTTTCAAGTTTTCCATAGCTTGTATCGAGAAAGAGCAATTTTGAATATGATAGAAGCCTCAAGGGTCCGGTTAAGGTAGAATTCATATATATTAAATCTTGAAAAAATTACCCTCGGACATTGTCAGGAAAGAGGAGAAAAGTATAGTTTAATATATATTATAACAGTTTCTTCCATCATACAAACGAGTTACTCAAACTATTGTTTTTCAAAACAAAAATATATGCTATTATTATAAGAACTGAAAATCTGTATATTAACTATATGTTTTCAGAAAATATATTCTATTCTATAAACGTATGACTATTAAGACTAAAAATTTCAATTGATTTAACCTATAACGTAGAAATCTTAGTGCAAAATATTTATTCGTTTTCAATAAGCCTAAAGACAACTGGTTAAAATTAGTATATTTTGCTCTTTCCAAACTTGTGTTCATCATTTTCTTCTAGAGTCTAATTCGACAATTACCATAAGATCGTTTCAAAATAGTAGTTGTACAGAATACTATTTTAGTCAATTTTACATTTCGATTAAGATCTATTAGATTCAAAATTTGAAACAGTTCTTATTGGTTCAATTTCGTAGAGCAAAATTGACACTATCAAGCATGTTATTTTTGAATGATAAGTTTTACAACATTTATATTTTTAAAAGCAATTTTTTCAGCCAATGTCGAACAGTTTAATGGAAATGCATAGATGAGATTTTACTAATTGTAAACATTTTATTTTAAATAGAATTCAATGATGTTGAATTGAAATGATTTCAAGACATAAACTAAAGACTGCGCCAAAAATCACTATCTTCTCTTTCTATAGACACAACTTTAGATTTTTTTTTCCACAAAATTTACTGATAATTGTTTAATCTCATTCTAACTAATTGCTTTTTGCTCGAATCAGTTGTCTTTTAGTAGCCAAAAAATGACCAAATATCTTAGACAAAAATTTTCGTGCTAGAGAATAGTTTAATAAAAAAATAAAAATAAAGTAATTTGTTTTCTGAAAATCATATTCGGATGATCAGAAAGTTATTAAACAAGATATTTATGGACTTTTCACTGGTTAAAAAGCACCAAAAACTATGAATTAGCATGTTCTTTTCGAATATGGTCTTTGAAATTTTGTTCGAGAATAGTGACCTATTCGTTGAAAAGTCTAAAAATTTTTATTTGTACGAAATTTACCAGTCGATATTTCCGATGAACATATTTATTCGTTTTGACCTGCTTAAGAACATTTCAGACAAGCCATAAACTATAGGTCGCAGTTAGAATATTGTAGTGTATACAACACCATCTAAACTGAGTGTTGAAGTATAGAAATAACAAATTTGGACCCTGCCCTTTCACACGTCTACTAGAGACCATCATTGACACTTGTTAGAAAATATCATAGACGCCTGCCAGAGATTATCACCGACGGTGACAGACGCCTAACACATGCTCTTGATATACTATCAGAGACGGTATATCAATAACACCTTGTTCTAATGCATGAAGTATTTTCTTATTGCATTTCTCGAGGATCGAGTAAAAGAATAGTGAAGAAATGTGTTTCAAAATACAAAGAATAAAGAAATCTTTCTGTAATTAGCTACAGCAGTTAAATCGTATTTCATATTTAAATTTCGCGGGTGTTGCACTAACAGCTTTGTGAATGAAAGGCTAAAAAAAATTATTTTTAATAATGAGTCAACAGGTTTTTGTTTAACCTACAAGTTCTTTTTTGAACATGCTAAAAGATATCGGACTCGGTCGTTTTCTCAGGCGAATACTTTTCTATAAAATGTGATATTGACATAGGCTGTAGTCTTTACTCAAACATTTTTTTAAAGAGCTTCTTTCAACATAAGACGCTTGTCGAGCTTTTAAGAATGAGTATTAATCAAAAACGAAAATTTAAGTGCCTTTTCATAAGGAAAAAAAAAATCTTCAAATAGTGTATTTTCTAATCTCAATAGTAAAAATACAAAAACTTTCCTTTCAGACTGATCTATTAGCCATTGCAAAGACTATTTCACTAGTTTCTAACAAAATCGAATAAAACATAAAATTCTGTTCCTAACTTATCGAAAATATGTTCTTGTGGATGAAAAGTCTTCGTACATCTTATTTAAACACTTTCTGTTCACCGGTTATCATTGCCAAGTGAAAGATGTGATCTAGACTACTTCATTTTCTATAAAACGATTCATACACTTTAATCTTTTGTAGAACAATAATAAACTTTATAGTGCATTTAAGGAATTTATTTATTTAATAAATAAAAGTAATGTACAAAAAAAAAAAACACATAAAATGAACCTACTCATTTTTTCTTTAATATTAAAAACATCTTCAATAATAATAATCTAAATTAATATTTATATTCTCTTTGAAATCGAGTATAACATCTCATGATGAAAATATTTCATTGAATAAATTTACCGTACGAATTTTTCCAATATCAAAATAATTGATAATCCTGCCGGTGCAAGAAAATGACCCAAATATCTTTAAATTTGATATTATACTCAAAATCTAAATTCAAAATCATTTAAAACAAAATCCTTTTTTTGTAACATGTACGATTTCTATTTGAGTTTTCTTCTCGTATTAAATTTTAAAAATATTTAATTAGACCTGTAAAATAAAATATCAACATTTTTAAATAATTTTTTCATGATACAAATATTTTTTATTTATAAATTCAACGACAAACTTTTTATATTGACCCGATAAAACATTGCATATATTGTTCCGACATTGTAAAAAACAAAATTCTTATTTGATTTAATTCAGCTCCGTATTGTTTCATTAGAAATTCTAATAATATAGCAGTTTTTGTTTTTCTTTACCTTTATTTATGCATAGTCGAGATATTTACACATGCGGAGTCTCTTAACTGAAGAGAAATCAAGTAAATCTTATTTGAATAAAAAAAATATAACCTATGAGTCTTTGATATTTGTTATGAATCATACCCATCGTTAAAGTGTTTGTTTTATTCCATAAATATTTTTTTTTGTTGATTGTATTAAAAGCTAAAAATATTTACCACAATAAATGACCATCATGATGTTATTTATTGATTGTTATCGTCTATAAGAAATCAAAACGGGGAATAGAGCAATAGAAAAAGGGCTCACGAGATATTCATATTTATGTGTAATAATAATCTTATTGTGTTGACCATTAAGATAAATCATATATTGAGGCACACTGCCTTATGCGTTTTATTATACACTACGACATATCTGATAAAGTAAACGAAGAAAAAAACAGAAACAAAAAGGAAACAAAAGAGAAAAAAGCAAAACGAGATCATTCACCGAATAGCACAAATGTGTATGTCTTGTTTGAAAATAAAACACTTACACGACGACTGCAATTGATATTGTTTGTCCAATAGATGAACAACATGAAGAGAGTTCGATGTATTCACTAAATTTTTTTTTTTCAATCTATATCATTTTACAATATTTTAATCTCTCTTCAATACCTGTTTGTTACTTTGACTGAATTTAATTCACGTAGAAATTGTAAAATATCATTATCAATGGGATTTTTACTTTTCTTAGTTTTTGATAATAAGTCATGATGATCAGATGATAATTTTCGTTTGTTTGTATCAATTGTTGATAATGGTGTAGGTTTTTTTATTGAACAATCTGAATTTAATAACTCACATACATGTGCATATGTACGTTTAAGTAATAATTGCGTATATAATGTTTGTGAACGTTGTCGACGAAGTTGTTTTTGTTTTGTTGTTGCTAAATCAAGTATATTACGTGCTTCAGAATAATCAATATCTGAGACACAATCATCTGATGTAAAAGATAAATGTTCATTTTGTTGTGGCATTATGAATTAAATTATATATAGATATATTTATGAAAGTTTAGAGTTAACTTACGAATGAAGAATAAATATGAATGAATGAATGAATGAATGAATAATTGTGTAATATAGAGTGGGCAAGAGCAATGACGTACTTGCAGGACGTTTGTTTGACTCAGATGAAATACATTAGAATAGAGGATTGTTGATAAAAATGGCGATTTGGGTTTTTCCGTATCATGAGAAAATTTGATAAAATAAAATTTAAAATAATAATTTTTTAATTTTATTTTGAAAAATATTATTACTTTTTGAGAATTTTACAGTATTAAAGCGACATCTATATATCTGTTTTGAATAAATAAATATCTATTTTCGACTATCCTCCCACTTGATTCTGTTGATCGACAGTGAATTTCATCTAACGATCGACAATGATTAAAATTTTTTGTGTGGAAATAAAAAGATACTGCTATATTCGTTCCTGCATCTATCAAAGCAGAAAGGGGTAGCTGTTTAATTCGAGTCTGAAAATAACTGAAACATTCGAAATCCTACCCCTTTGTAAAAGCAAAAGATAAAATACAGTTCGAATTCGAGTTGAAATTATAATTTATAATTCATTGAAAATTTCCGTTGACGCTACTGCTTTTATCTAAGGTGCTTCAGGCATAATCTGATATGGTTAATTATTAACTTCTCATGTCTAAGAGACCAAGTAGATTCGCACAGCTACCACCTGAGTTGTTACAGGTTTCATTGAAAGAGCTAAACGTATGATCTATCATGCTAGATAGATTCAGTGTAATGCTGTAGATATATTTTGGCATGTCACAGTTATCGAATGCGATGTTAGACGTGATATTTTGAAAAATTCTAGATGGCTGTATGTTTTGATATTTTTCTTGACAAGTTTTTTTTTTTTTGTTTTGTTTTACCTGTTCTCATTTTCTATACTATCGTTGGTTTGTACAAAGACCAATCACATAAAGCAACATCACCATCATTGATGCATGACATTGACTAGCAGAAAAACATGTAAAACATAAGTCAGCTTTGTTATTTCGTAGGAGTATATCAAATAATTATTGACAAAAACAAAAAAATATGAAAATTAACGTATGGATACAATTTATCGTATTAAGTCTTTGTATGATAATAATTGCAGCTAAAGATTTTTATGCCGTCTTAGGTGTTAAACGAGATGCAACTGAAAAAGAAATCAAAAGAAAATTTCGTCAATTAGGTAAAACAAAAACAAAATTTTTTTACTTAAAATAAATATATAAAACTAATCATATTTTTATTTATTTTAGCTTTAAAATATCATCCAGATAAAAATCAAGATCCAAAAGCTGAAGAAACATTTCGTACTATAGTTGAAGCATATGATGTATTAAGTAATCGAGATAAACGTCGTCAATATGATATGCAAGGAGATCAATCATTTCGATCATCATCAAATCAAGATCATTCTTCTGATTTTCATTTTAATATGCATGATTTTTTTAAAGAATTTGATGCTGCATCATCTCAATTTTATGAAGCTCATCATCGAGCACATAATGAAGCACATCAACGAGCACATAATGAAGCACATCAACGAGCACATCAAAAAGCACATCAACGAGCACAACAAGGCTTTTATGATTTTGATTTTGGTTCACTTTTCGATGATGATGATGAAATTGGAATGGATTCAAATGATCTTGATGATAATAATATAGATATTACCGATCTATTTGGAGGTTTCAGTAATAGTTTCAATGCAGAGAATCGTCGTACACATACATCAAGTTTTTCTAAACATACTCATAAACATTGTCATACTATAACACGTCGAGTAGGAAATACTGTATCAACAATTACTGAATGTAATTAAGTTTGTCTTTCGTTTCATTTTTTATTATGTATAATTTTGTTTTATTTTGTCTTCTGAAATCATCATAATAAAAAAAAAGCAAATCTCATTTTCACACGATGTTTTATTTTCAAGAATCATCAATATTAATCTAATTATTGAATATTTTATTTTGTAATGATATAAAATAAGTTGACCGAACTTTTTCAAAAGAAGTTAGCATTAATAATTATTTTCTTCTGACATTTTTTGTAACTTTTCTTACTATTCGTCAGTGTTCGACATCAGTTAAACTTTTGGTATTCGATTCAAGTTAGATTCTAGTACAGTGGCGTACGCAGAAATTTTTCAAGGGGGGGGGGGCGGGGCCCACCCCCCACGAGGGGGGGGGGGGCGCGCGCCCGCGCGGCCAGAAGACGTT